GGATCTGTCGTGCAAGTCAAAGAGCGTCTGATGTACTTGGAAATCTTTTGTTGATAATGCGCAGATTCATCCAGGGATAATTCGTCCAAGACCTCTTTGGAACCACCATCCCGAGCAGTCCCATGAGTGACCGATGCATCTTCCCCACCCTTGCCCAGAAATGTAGCCTGGAACAGCTTTGCCACATTCAATGCCCCGGTCTGCAAGTAGAACGCTTAGGCATCTGAAACGCAACAGGCCAGGTTGGGCCAGCTAGTGTAATCATAATTTATGTATATATGTACAATCAAATACAATCTTATCTAATCAAATAGTATATCATCATAATAATCACTTTGTATGCAATATACAGCCGTATCGTATCATCAGATTACGCACATCTAATGTGTGTATATATATATATATACATATGGTGTCAGTTCCATGACAGTCCTGCGACAGGATTCGAACACGTGCTTACAAATATAATATTTATGTATATATATATATATATTACAATATGCACAACTGCACAACATGACACCACCTCACCACACCCCTAATTTGTTTGATCAGTCGAACATGTTTGTTCATATCTTTGCTGTTGCCGATGCAGCGGCATCTGATGATAACAGAACTCAAAGGCTGGAAATAGCTACATGTCGGTTTAGTCTGTTTATTGGACCGCAGTTGTAAAGTTGTAGAGGCCATAAAGAATAAAGGCAGTTGTATGAATGTCCTGAATAGCTTCATCATAGACTTGAAAGACTTGTTTGATCCAATCATAAACCATAGTAAAAATCAATACATATAATGTATATATATATTTATTTATTTATTTATTTACTCTTATTTATTCTTTTAATTCCTGACATAAAAACAACAATCTCTCTGATCCAGCCCGACCAGTCCGACCAGCCCATGTTTGAATTCAAGGCTGGTATGACAAGTCACCATCGATACTGGCCCACCGACCAGCAATCGCTAGTGGTGGTGCTCTGAAGGTTGCACGTAGCTTACCAACACCAGGTTTCTCTCCATGTTGACGCCACCACATTGCCCGGATCTTGGACAAATGCCCCCTCCAAGTGTGTGAGAGTGTAGCAACAGATGTGTAATACTTGTACGATCGCTTGAGTCTTGCCAGTAGGACATCACATAAGCGAAGATTGCTTTGTACAGCCAGATGGTACACATGCTTCAAGCAATGAATGCCAAAGAATAAAGCACACTGGAAGTCTTGTGTCGCAAGCAATGATCGAATGCTATTCCGAGTACAAATTTGGTCGGGGCCGTTGTCACCTGTATTCATGTAGATATGTATGTAGTCGTTCGGAATCTGTCCCTTCCTAAGCCAATGATGTGGATTTAAGACATGGAGATTTTAATCAACACCAACACCAAGCTAATGAATATAGTGTACATCATAGACGGATTCATACATACACTCATACATTGAACCAAACAAACAGCAACAACTACAAAACAGCACGACCACAAAAGGTTACCACATCACTCCCAAACATGTTGATGATGTGACATGCATGCAAAAAAAACAGAAACAATAGTGTAGTTTTTTTTTTTGAGTTGCTTATGCTTAAAGATAAAACATGTCAGATGACTGGCTGCGATGCTAGCATTGGTCCTCAATTCCTCAATGTGACATTTCTATACTTAGACCCAATCATCAAACATGCCCAGCGGCTTCTTTGCTTCCATCATATCCCACCATGTTCTGAGACCGAGTCTGGAGAATTGTTTGGCAACAATGGCCACATTACCCCGAGCTGTTCCATGAGCACAGACTTGTAAGTCCGACCTTATGTGCTTGCAGAGCATGGTCGCATAACTGATAACAAATCTGTTATTTTGATCAAACAGATCTTCGCAACTATCTGAAAACTATAATAATATCATGTGCCACACCCACATGACCACATGAGAGAACCAAAGGTTCATAAACTTCCCGGCGGAAGGGAAACCGCGCGAGCGTTTTGATTGGTTGCTTCCAGGAGAGTCACAATCACCTGTAATTTACAATATAAAATGCTCCTCCGATCAGTTTGGATAACTGAATTTGGGTTTAAAAAAGTGGATGCAAAATCTATTGATTTTTAACAAATCCAGGTAAACATCATGTGCATCAGACGTGGATGCGCAGATTTTTTTTCACACTCTTCGTCGGCTCAGCGATCCATCAGTGTGGAAGCTGTCAACCTATGCATCACTACCGCACCCAAACCCATACGCAGCGCAGCAACATGTAACGTAGGAAACTATCTCAGGATACCAGCAGCGTAGCAACATGTACCTTAGTAAACGATCTCGGAGATACCAACCGCGTAGCAACCTGTAACGTAGTAAACGATCACAGAGATCTCAGCAGCGTAGCAACATGTCACGTAGTAAAAGATCCCAGAGATCTCAGCAGCGTAGCAACATGTAACGTAGGAAACTATCTCAGAGATACCAGCAGCGTAGCAACATGTAACGTAGTAAAAGATCCCAGAGATCTTAGCAACATCGCAATATATCCTGTACGAAGTACAAGGAACGTTAACATGCCCCCCACCCCACCCCACCCCAACCCCAACCCACACTAACATGGCAATATATCCTGTACGAAGTACGAGGAACGTTAACATGCCCCCCCACCCCAACCCACACTAGAGATCTCAGCAGCGTAGCAACACGTAACGTAGTAAAAGATCCCAGAGATCTTAGCAACATGGCAATATATCATGTACATTCATGTACGAAGTACAAGGAACGTTAACATGCCCCCCCACCCCACGCCACCCCAACCCCAAGACAAAGAGCAATACTCAAAAAAGAAGCAAAACGCACGTACGGTTTTCCTGCCGTAGGCATAAACTTCATATGTGGCATATGTGATGGATTTGCATTCTGTGTTTGTAGTTAGGATCTGGTTGTCTAAGGTAAGTAGGCTTGGATTTGAATCCCTACAATCTGATAATCACTGATAATCCAACCCAACCAAAGAAAAAGGAAATATAACATGTGTGAAACTATGAACTATGAGCTGGCTATGAACCAAAAACAAACACTTAAGCAAAATACAACCACTAAACTCAGATCAAAGACATGGCTGTCTGTGTTGTGAATGCAGCATCATAGTCGAGATTTGTCAACGCAGAACAATCCGAAACCAGTGAAGATTGCACCATCAAACCCTGAAGTTTTTGGCGTTGCCAAATGGAAGCATTGGTCGCATCACCACACCAATATGTTGCCCCCAACAGGCCTGGTTT